GTTTTATCCAGCTGAGCGAGGGGTCAGTAACCGTTGCTCCTTGACGCTGCTCCTTGACGCTGCCGCTCCCACCCTCACCCCACTCTCATCGGCCCATCGCTAGCGACACCTGTGCTCCCCTGTGCCAGTTTACTCCCTGCTGCTGCGATAACCCACACCTGCTGAAGGCAGCATATGGCAAAGGCAGGCCTGTGCATAGCTCGCATACAGCATTGAGAGTATGTGCAGTGGTTCGGGGCTGTTACAGCTCACACAAAAGCCATCTAGTTCAGAAGGTTTGCCACAGGATTCTTTACTCGGTGAGGCTAGTTGAACTGAGCTTACCGTCTCAATGGCCGGGTTTTCAATTCACGTTAAAAGACAATGAATGTGTTGTGATTACCTATTACAAATTGCATATGAATCTTATCAGGGGTTTTTTAAAGACACTGGTGCGTGAGTTAAGATGACGAAAGGGGACACTGCTCAGTGTGGCAATTGTATTAGTTTTGTGCTTCATGCTCATTTAACGGTTGTAGCCGTTCTAGCTACCTGCACCGCCACCAACACTCGCCGCTTCTTGCAAACTTTCCATCTACCTGCTTACTTTAACACCACCTCATTTCCCGATCTATGTTGTGAAAACAAGGGCTCGGCTCCCAGCCCCTCCTTGTCCGCCTAAACTACCTCCAAATCTACTCATCTTCATTCCCAGACAGGCTTGCTGCTGGACGAAAATCACCAGCTCTCCGACCCTGAAGGTCCGATTCCGCTGCAGCTGCAATTTATATGTTAATCACCAGCTAATTAACAACATGTCCTACATCGCTGCGCCTGGTTATTGTTCTCTTCACACGTCAGTGACCGCGCTGGATGTCTGGAGATGACATGCGATTGACGCTGGGTGTTGTTTCCCTCGGCTAACAGGAACGGGACCAGCAGCGCGTCCAGTCTGGGCCAGGCAGAGCTGGACGCTTTCCCCGATGTGCCCAGTCAGATGACAGTAATCAGGTAAGCGGCGCTGTCACAGGCCGTGGCTGGAATTTTCCTCATTAATGTGACTGTCCGATCAGCCCCATTGTGCCGTTTTTTCTTATACGTAGATAATATATTCCATTTTTTTTTCATTTTGTCACCTAGAGCGAAGCATAAGGGGTCATGTAACCGGCATTCATGCACATGATTATAGCTCATACTCATACATGTTCCGTCGTTTTGTGCAGATATTAATGTTGAGAAATAAAAGCCTCTCCAGTCTTTTGCATTTAAAACATAAAAACATTTCTACTCATTAAAGAAATAGTAAATACCGTTAAACATTTGGGAGAAATGTTGCTTTTTTGCTGTACTTCGGGTTCAATGGTTTAGCACATGACCCCCTGTACACCCGTAATGTGTCACGTGTACATTTTGTTTTTTATACAAATGAAATGTAACGTTACCTTTTACGTTTTTTGACCGTTTACAGTCTTTATGCTGTGATAACTCAACCAGACGTTCATTCCCGTACTAACCTAAGAGTCAAATCAATTTTCTCTTCTTACTCCTACCAAGAAAGTGAACTACTCGTCGAAGTGATTGTCTGTTACTGTAACAATCAACTGTTGTTTGTTTCCCTCACAGTGAACAGACAGAGAAAGGACATCTGAGGAAGGAAAACGCCTTCGGTAGGTGTAGTGTTCAATTCTCACGTCACCGCAATGTTATCAACTCAATTATTCACTTCCTTTAGTTGTAACGTCAATTCTCAATTCTGCCATCTCTGTGTTAAAGATCAAGGGAAAGGCCTGAAGTTTCAGAGACGTCTGAACACAAAATTTGGTTTTGTTTAATGACTAAAGCTCCAACAAAGGTTTTCTGATCCTTTTTCAAACTAGTAAAAAGCCTTCGGAGCGTAAAGGTCTGGCTCGTGGGCTTTAGGAGTTCAAGCAAGAAAAGTAGACAATGACATTTCTGTGCATAAGTGTCGTGCTCCGAGGGTGTAGACGACACATTTTACATCAAAAGTCTATTTAATTCATTAGAATAAACCCTCTTTTCTCTTAAAAAATGCAATACAAACAAAAATGAAGAACAACAAACGAAGCAAGCACCTTAAATTAATATGAAAGACTAACACAAAACGACTATTACACCACTGATGAGACACACAAACACGAGAAAGAAGAACACAATAGGGGGAAACCAACGATGACTTTTTTTTAATCTATGACATTCGTATTGTAAAGGACACCATGACCAAGAACATCCGCAATGTAACTAATCAATAGCAGACCATACCAAGGTTAGTTCATGGTCCTTTAATGTTAGAAAAGAATAACTGTAAACCTTTCTGTTTTTCAGAGAGCGGTTCGGAGAGGTCAGCCGGCGGCGGCGGCCCTCTCCGGGTGCTGTTGGTGGTAAACTGCGACCTGGAGGCCGGACGCGTGGACTCGGAGCTCAGAGTGGCCCTGCAGTGGATCGCTGCCTCCGAGCTGGGCCTCCCTGCTCTTCACTTCAGGAAGTCCAAAGACAAGAGCGCTGCAAAGGTAGGCTCACCTGTCGCCTCAAAAACATCGAATCAGTCATTAATCAATCCCCTTCAAATAATGTTTCGTATGATGAGGTTTCCTTGATTATTCTAATCTTGTCACAGGATAATAGGGAAGCTGAGGTTATGAGCCCACATGCACAGCGTGCATTTTATGATTAATATGGTCTCAGTGACCACAAAGCCTTCAAAATGAAAGTTCATGTCGTAGAGGGGTGAAGACAACCTTTACAATGACGTTTTTTAGGACTTAATGTACTGTGACATTTGTTTTACTTACTAAACTGTGACCCTTTTATGTCATTTTTATCACAATAGTGATTGATGACATTTATGACAATGTGTGACAGTCTTTATTACTTTTATGCCGTCGTATATTATATCATTCGTATAACATTTTTATGACATACTATCCTCTGACCTCTTTTATGCCTTTAGACAGGAGTCATGACATATTTTATGGCGCTAAATCAAACCTTTAACCCTTCCACGCATTTTTGCAACAGCCAACAAAGGGCTGAATTCGGTGCGTCTCGTCTCAGTTTCAGAGGGTGGTCCACCTGATGTCTCAGAAGTCGTGGCGGATTGCAGACTTGTTCCGCGCACTGGTCCAGTTCTGTGAGCTACACGAGAAAGAGGAAGAGGAGGGTCGGTCTCTGTCCAGCCTGTTCGATTGGCTGTTGGAGACCCTGTAGGGCCCCCCCGAAGCTACCGCCTACTGCAAAACAAAAAGACACTTCAAAGGTCTCACATGTTCCTAACCCGTCTCATCACTCCAACATCTCCTACTCGAAAGCACAACACGATCCGCTAACTTGAGAAATGTGTGCACCTCAATCTGTCAATGGAAGTTGTGTTTAGTATCTTTTGGCAGCCATGAATGGACCAGTCTCCCTTTAATAAAAGCATGTTTCTATTTCCACAATCACCTCTCTAGTGAGACACACACACACACACATACACACTTTTTTTTTTTTTTTACAGATTCTCACAACCAAATGATTCCAAATCAACACACATGAAACAAAGCACCAATAGAAGATAAAAAAAAATCAGAATCACCTCTCTAGTGAGTCACATTCACAAACAGGGCAAAATGTTGCTATAGTTGGTTTTAACCGTTTCAGATTATATATATGAGCTTAAATTCTCCACACAACTGAACACGCTAATATCTTCAATGCCAACGTGAGGCCGGAAAAAGTCGTTTCACCTTCTACTGACAGGCACGTAAACGTGCATATTTGCTTGAACTAAGCGAAATGTCTTTGTTGTGTTCATTGGCCAACGTACCACCTCTGTTGTGACTTTGACATTCAGTTCTAAGTAAGTCTGTTATCTTATTCCTGTTACTTTGGAACTGGTTATTTTGGATAGCTGTGCTGTATATACTGTAGATTTGGAACTTCTGCACCTTGGAGTAATGGACAGCTCTTTCTAGCTTTTACTATGTCAGGACGACGGAGTGTGGTTTGTAATGTTGAATTTGTACGTGAATTACGTCTGTTCATTTCTCTAATGAGTGGTTCACTAGTGTTTGGGGGGTGGAAGGGGGAGGGGGGCGGGCACACAATTCAGCTGTAAACTGTCACGGTAGAACTGAATGTATTTATCTTTTGACATCAATAAATTGCTGTGATGTGAAATACATGCACGGTTGATCACTTTGTGACACTCAGCAGAAACTGAAACCTTCTCCGTTGGTCCACTGGTGTTACAATGAACTAGTTGATTTGAAGATACAGAAAAAAAACATTCATCATTTAATTTTATTGTGCAAAACAATGTATACCTCGCAGATACGTACAAACAGGGGAAACAAGAATACCAGAGGTTGGTAGCTGATGGTTGGCTCATGAAGGTGAGGCAAACGTTAACAGTCATTAACCAGAATAGTTTCCAACTTAAACAGGGTGAGGGTTGCGGTGTCTTTATGTTAAGCTAAACGTATTGCCTCTTAGCCGATACAAGGTTTTTATTTTAGAACTCTTCCAAAAAACGTAGCTTTAAACTACTCAATGACATTTTATGAGCATAGTTTCCACACTTTTAAACTGTAAAGTCAGGAAACAAGCAAAACTTTAGACTGAACAACAGAAAGAAAAATGCGATGATGATGGTTTGCAATAGCACCGATGTCATAAACTAGACTTTTACCTCAAAGGGACTTCAGATTTCTTAGCTGCAATTTCACAATAAGAAATCCAGACAGTAATATGCTGCTGTGTCCATGTATACACCCCTCTCATCCTCTGAAGGGTCAGTACCAGATCCGGCATGTATTATCTTTGCTTCCTGCAGGAGAGCACAAACAAGAACCGGTGGCTGTGAAGGACGACACAGCTGCAAGCTTTTTTTCTCTAAAATGTGTGTTTAATCATTTATGACGGCTCGCCGGAAGTAGTTCATTTGTTGCTCGTTTTACCAGTGTGTGTACCTGTAATGACAGTGTCCCCCTCGTAGTTGAAGACGCAGGAGAAGATCTCGTCGCTGTGTCCCTCCAGGACTTGTAGGCAGACTCCAGACTGAACATCCCACAGACGGGCGGTCTTGTCGGAGCCGGCAGTCAGGATCCTGCTACCTTGGGGGCTGAAACAGATCTGTCGAGAGTGGCAAGAGTGTAAGTTTTATTTAGAGGTGTGTGTGTGTGTGTGTGTGTGTGTGTGTGTGTGTGTGTGTGTGTGTGTGTCCTACTTGAGTCTGGGATCATGAGCTACAAGAGAGATGCTGGATAAGAGACGATGATAGAAGGGTTGAAGTGATGGGTTAGTTAAGAACACCTGATCGGCAACATTATTCCAGAGGTCATTAATACTTGTGTGGGAAAAGATAATGAAACTATGACCTTTGACCACCATAATCTGATGAGATCGTGATAGACAAACTGAGATTGAAAAAGAGACTTTGAGGGACTGGCTAACGAACCAGTAATGTCTCCAGGCCACATGGCCCTGCTAAAGAAGCATCACGGGAGGGGTAGAGGTGTCCTGTGAGGGAAAGATTAGTGTCTTAATCCGAAATGTGCCAACGTGTTACTAAGTTCCTGATGTTTTAGTGAAGAGGGGTAACTTCTGTGCCCCTTGTACAGAAACACAACCTGCAGGGCGCACACACTTGGGAAAAGCAAGGAAAGGAAAATGGGTCGTTGGCAAAATCACTGGAGTGCAAGTTTCATGCAGGCTACGAATAAAACATACACGCACACAACTGATGCCAGAGTGTGTGTTTGGCCTTGTTGTAGCAACAGGGAATGTTCTTCTTGAGGGCGGCTGATTGCGTGTGATGGCACGGGTACAACATTCGGGGGCCGAGTTCAGAGGTTAATAATACGAGGTCCGACCCTGCTAACTCATGGTCAGAAAGGCCATTTGCTAGTTGTTATTTCTCACAGAGCGCTACCTCGAAAGCATCCAGTAGCTTTACTACAGTCCGATGTCCTACTTGCAGAGTTGTACCATGTGACAGTCAGCACTGAACAGCCTGCAGCCTGAACTCCTGTCGCTCTACTTCAGCGTCACACTTTATCCCGTGTTACCAAGGCAAGCGGAGAGCAATGTCCTACTTACAGTCATGGCCAGGAGAGATGTAGCTACACACCGAGAGGAGATGTGGAAATAGAAGAAGAAGAAAAAAACAAAACAAAGAAAAGGCTCATTCCCACTTGCAACTTGCCTGGTAAATGTTTCCTACAACCAAAAACACAATTCTGAAGGAGCTGTTTATGAAGAGCAGAGGTCTGAACTCACTGGTGCTACTCTGTTTCCCAAACGCAAGCAAAGATGTGTTACTTGAGAGACAAGAAGAACCGATAGCAAGTAGTTACCTTGGAGATCTCTCCATCATGGCCCTGCAGGGTCACAAGACACTGATGTGTGGTAGAACTGAACACCTTCGCTGTCCCTGACAGAGACGGAGACAAGGTCGGCAGGGTTATTTGTGTACATATTATTACTATACACTATTGATTTTGTTCATTTAGGCGTCAGGAAACCAGCATAAACACAACAAATAAAAGTAATATGGAGCATGCATTGCAAAATTTTAAAAAAGAAATTATATTTTTGTCATTTTCAAGGAAAACTCACTTGAGTGTGTATTTATATGCACGCGCACACACACACACACACACACACACACACACACACACACACACACGCAGTCTTATACTTTTATTTTACAGCAGTAATTGAATTATTTGTCTCACCATCGGCAGAAGCAGTGGCAATGAGCTGACCCCTCAGATCAAAACACACATCTAGCACCTCTTCTGTGTGGCCAACCAAGGTGGCCACACACTTCCCGCTGACTGCCTCCCACAACTGCAATTACAAACATAACGCAATACTCTCAGGAAATGAATTATACATCGTTACAAACAAGAGAAAAAACACATTCCCGTTGATTGACGAGCAAACAGCGGGATGCTGTTTTAAGTGGCTTTACTCGAACAACCTCGCCTAGAGGAATACAGTGAGGTGGATGATTTGTCAGCGCATGACTCATCTTTGTAGAATTAACATATTAGGATTAAACAACTCCTTTAAGTGATGGAAAACTTAAGAGACAGAGTCGGAAATAGAAAAGAGTTCATATGAATGCAGAGAGCCATCTCGTGCTTTGCAATAGTTTAAAATGTTAATGAATGTAATAAATGAATAACCAAAATATTGCTAAATAATTGAAGAGACTTTTTGGCTTGATCATAGGTTACCTTGCAGGTTTTGTCCATGGAGCCTGTGACTATGAGGGAGCAGTCCCAGTTAAACTGAACGTTGCTGATTTCCCCTCTGTGACCAGTCAAAATGTGGACACGTCTGAGAAGGAAAGAAAGGGCCGTAATGAGTCAGTTGTGCACTGATGTGTGTAAAATCTACTGGCGTAAATGCCTCCCCTGCACAGTGTAAATAGTGACTCACATTCAGAAATCCATTTGTGCGATGCAACAATACTGAATGTGTCTGACCTTCCTGAAGCAACGTCCCATATAGCGACGGTGTGGTCAAAGGAGCCGGTGACGAGCTGATTTCCCACAGTGTTAAAGCACAGAGACAGGATCTCTGCAGTGTGACCCTAGATGACACAGGGGAGGAATAATCTCTCAAAGTATTACTCTCATAAAGTCCTTCTCTTTCTTCCCCTGTGCAGATTAAATAAATACCGAGCACACCCTTAAGATTCTATGCGGGATTGACTCCTCTCAGCTTTATGGATTCTTGGTGGTGTAAAGTACTGACAGAACAGAGAGTTGCTCCTCGCTGAGACATCGCCATCCAACCAGTCACTTCACATCAAAGAGAGCTCACTGAGCCCCACCCCCTGAATGCTGCCTTATTAACAGGTGGCAGTAACATTTACCATCCGGTCATGGGTGGAAAATAATATAGCCATCAGCAAGGGTCACAACGGTCAATTTAGGAATAATTACTCTCATAAGTGAAAGAACGGTTTTACTGAATTAATGCATTATTAATGAATGGATGTGAGCTCGGTGTTGGAGGAAGGGGGGGGGGGGGGTAAGAAAGATATTGGGATGTAGAGGGTAAAGCAAAGAATACTCACAGTCAGAGTGGCCGCCTCCTCCCCAGTCTCCACATCCCACAGCCTGGCAGTGGCATCCATGCTACCTGTGGCTACCAGCGTGCTCTGGGGGTTGAATGCCAGGCACACCTACGTGATGAACAAAAAAAAACTCTCTGTAACATTTGCTAGAAAGAAACTATGCATGAATATTTATATATATATATATATATATATATATATATATATATATATATATATATATATAATTACTATATATATAATTACTATATATATATATATAATTTTATATATTACATATAATTAAAAACAATCAGCAATGCAATCATTTCCAGTTAAAACTGATGGTCATACATACTATTTCTGCCCTGTGTCCGCAAAAGGTATGAAAACATTTGCCCGTCTCGGCGCACCACAGTTTGCACGTCTTGTCAAAAGAGCCGGTGGCAATCTTGTCTCTAAGTTTAAAAAGATAAAAATGCAAAAGAAAAACAACAGAGGGCCAAATAAAGCAACGATTCTCGGATGCAATGAGAAATGTGCTGCAAACGGCTCATTACCCGTAAGGGTTGTTGAATGCAATCGCATAAACCACGTTCCTGTGGCCCTCCAGAGTGTGCACGTCGGTGCCCGAGGCCGTGTCCCAAACTCTACATGTCCTGTCATAGCTCCCAGTTATGAACCTGGAGAGAAACACAACAAACAGTGATACATAGCTTTTCCTATTTCCCAAAGTGAAGGACTTTCAGAGGGGCAGGTATACCTACCGTGACCCTGATTTGTTAAAGGCAACATTTGTCAGCGGCAGCATGTGTGCTTTAAGGCTCTACAAAAAAACAAAAAAAACAGAGAAAGATTTAATGAAACCACAGAGGCTACTTCAATAATCAAGGCATCTCCCCTCAAGCTAACTAGTGGTGGAAGGATTTCTCTCCTTGTCTCCTTGTGCAGAAGTTTTAGACACAAGCAGAAAACGTCTTCTGACCTACAGCCACATAACACACCCAGATGTCGTAGCAGTTTTGAGTTTTACTAAAACAACCCGAACCACCTGTTTTTAATCACGTTTTAGACAGTAAGCATGCTTCCTTGGCTTCTAATTCTAAGACTTCACGATCTAACCACTGCTGTCCTCTAGTGTATTTTTGCAGCAGTGATTAATTTAATTGCTCACACTTTCCAATGATGAAAATAGCATTCATAAAGAGAAACGCTCGGGGAAGTAATAACCTGCTGCAATAAGCTGATGTTGCCAAAAATGTCATCATCCAAAATATTTTCAGATGCCTGTGTAATTGAGTGAAACAGCTCTACAGAAAATCCACTAACGTTCATCTTAGTCCTTTAATCTAATGCACAATCTCTGTACCAAGAATGTCTGTACCGATGTACATTACATTATACGCGGTAATGGAATTTGTATGAATATCTTCAACAATCTCAGCTATTTCATTGAATTGAGATGCCATGTCATTGTGTTCATGTAGTGATGATATGCCAGTGATGTAAGTATGAGTCCAGTGTCCGACCTTGGAGAAACAGAACCCGGGCTGGTCCTTCTGGCCCTGTTTCTGCTGAAGGCGAAGGATCAGCTGTTTGACCTGATCAGCCCGGGACTCAGTGACCAGAGGCTCTGATCGACGGATCTCTCCCAGCAACTCATCTGGGTTTGTTCTGCATGGGGGGGGGGGATAAATAAATGTATATTTTTCCACATTTTTAAACTTAACACCTCCTTAAAAGGAACATTTAAAAAGCGATAATGAAAAATAAAAGAATTAATAAAATAAAATAATAACATTTCTTTCAATCAACGTAAACACTTTTTTTGACTTTTGGTACATTTATAAATTTGAAAGTCACATTTATTTAAAAGGTAACTATAACTTAACTTACAACTTAACAACGCTGACCCCTCACAGTGCATCCTGGTTAGGTTATATAGTTCAATGGCGGTTTAATACCACATTTAACAGTGGAAGTGTTGATCGGGTGGTTTGGTGATGGACTCCATCATTGACCTCCTATTGAATACCGAGGTCTCACGTAACTTTACGACTCAATGGAATCACAACGTTATCAATTGGTAATAAACAACCAGCTCACGCACTCGGGAGTCAAATCCAACAGGTCCATTGATTTGGTCTTCAATAATCCTTCTTTTTCATATTCCAAGATGATCCCTGAGTGCAGAAAGATGAAAAAAAGTGAGCTAACATTATGTTAGTTTTGCAGCTAACGTCAGTGCTAAGCTAGCACCGTTAGGCTACAGCAAGTTGTCAGAAGTTGAAAATATTCCTCTAAATCACTGGCATATTCCCGAAATATGAGTACGTTACGTCACAATTAAGAGAAATTAAAATGATTCATATTACCCGGTGGATAATATCTGAGAAGGAACCGCTTGAGTTTCATTTTACGATGTTTACAGGCAATTCCGTATCGAACGGTCCTCTGACGTAAACAAATCGTTTCCACGACGACGGACGCACTCGCGACGCATGCGCAGTACCGTCATCGGCGGAAAAAGGCAGAACTTTGGTTAAAACAACAAAGACTATTTCACGCCAAATTCCGTCCGGCTGCTCAATGCTTTGTGAGATCATCAACCCCAAAGTACGACGCAAGCTAATTACGTTGCGTTTGGGTTTCATGTGGAGAATGAGAACACAAATGTCAGGCAGGTGGTTTGTACAGCTGTAAAAAATAACAGCAAATAATAATAGTTAGAGAATTGGTTCATCACAACAGCGTGTTATTAATAAATGCCTTAACCCTGTCATGTCATGATGGTTTCCAGCTGCACCTCCCTAGTGTATTTAAGCCAAGTGTGTCTGTTGTCACTTGTCGTGTCATTGTTAAATGTCAGAAGCCCATGTCTGTGTCCACGTTCCTGTTTCCTGTTCCCCGACCACGTTTTTGCCTTTTTGGAGTTTTGAGTTTTTTGGAAGTTTTTGACTATTAAAGTCCTTTTGTGTTTCCCGCAAACTCTGCGTCTGAGTTCTACCTTTTCCCCACGCAACTTCTTGACAGGGATCATCTTATTCCTGGGCATCTAATCCATCACATGCTCGTATCAGCCCAAGTCCTGTTTAACCACCTCCCTACAATCCTTCTGTTTCGTAACAGGTTGAAGTCTATTGCTCATTAACTGTGACTAAGACACGTGGATAATAAAGATTGGGACATGTGTGCATGTATATCCAAGCTACTATGAAACACTGATAGTCCGGAAAAGCCCGACTTCCTCCACAGTTCTGTAACAATTCAAACTAAAGACGTCTCCGTGGGAAGTTCCTCGGAGGTGAAAGCATGGGCTGTTTAGCCAAGCTGAGGTCCTCCAGCTGGGCTTACCCAACTGCTGTCCTTTCTCTCTATGGCTTCTTTGCGAACTGCAGAGTAGCGGAGCCCTTCCTCACCCCATACCTCATCGGACCGAACAAGAACATCTCAGGAGAAGTGGTAAGCTTGGCACACAAATACTCACCCGTTATGAAAATCTACCATGGAGATGTGGACCTTTCAATGTTGATGAGACCAACCGCTCTAGTGTTCTGATTTTGTCAATGACACATGAGACACATGATGAGATGCAAAACCTGTGTTTGGATCAGGATTCTAGTTTCCCACAGGTGACTAACTACTTGTTCCCTATCTGGACGTACTCCTACCTGGCCTTCCTCGTCCCCGTCTTCCTGCTGACTGACCTGCTGAGGCACAAGCCCCTCATTGTGGTGCAGGGGTTCTTCCTGGTCACCAACTATGTCCTGCTCTGCTTTGCCCCGGGTCTGCCTGCGATGGTCGTCCTTCAGGTCCACTGAAAAAAATGACTAAATAAATTAGTTTGAAAAGAGTTGCATAGTATACATGTATACAAGTATTACTAAAATATCTACACGCTAGATTCTACAATACCAACGTTGCTCTCTTTAAAACTATTCCGCCCCACCAACAGGTCAACTATGGTGTGGTGGCTTCCACAGAAGTGGCCTACTTCTCCTACATTTACAGTGTGATTCCAGTTGAGAGTTACCAAAGGGCCACCGGTTACCTGCGAAGTGCAATGCTGGCTGGATATACATTGGGCGCCAGCTTGGGCCAAGTGCTGGTCTCCCTGGCAGGTAGAGCATAAGAAAGAATATAGGGTCTCTTCACTGGGATGAAGAACACTCTCCAATTTCAGCAAACACTGACAGAGTTTGGCCCTCCCATCAACAGGAGTAGACTACTTCTACCTCAACGCCATCACCCTGGGGATTCAAAGCATGGCTTTCCTCATCTCCTTCGGGTTGCCTATGCCCCAGTGGAGCCTGTTCTTCAAAGGGGAGAAGGCAGCAGCTCTGGGCTCGCGGCCCCAGCAGGACGGAGCTCCTGGGTGGGACGGGCCCGAGGAGGAGAAGGACCAGGCTGGCTCGGGGAAAGCCAACGCGCAGCACCGTGGCGGTGCCAGCTGGTGCACCAGGGGGAACGTTGCCGCTGCGGGTCTTCTCCTTTGGCAGAGCTTCAAGGATTCCTATTCTTCCAGGCATCTACTTTACCCGTCAAAACGCTGAGCACACAGCTACTGCACATTTCATCCTTCACCCAAGTTTGTTGTAACAAATGAGCAAATCGTACAATTGTTAATTGTGGTGTTTTTCCTGTAATGTATTTAAATAGTACTCTATTTTATATTTTTTTCAAACGTAGGATATCCCGCTAATTACTTCCCGGTTTCTTTAATGACCTCCATGCAGGAACGTAATCTACTGGTCCCTGTGGTGGGCTCTCGCCACAGCTGGATACGTGCAGGTTTTCAACTACATCCAGCTCATGTGGGATCATATAGAACCATCTGCCTCCTCGTCCATCTACAACGGAGGCGTAGAAGCTGCGTGCTCCCTTGTGGGTAAGACTGCGTGCGTGCGCGTAACAGACAATGAACTATTTTGCGGTTCCTATTTCTGATGAAATTATACTTGAGTTACTGCAGTATCACAACACACAGCTCTGAAGGCATAAGTCTGGTGAAGTTTCCTTTCTGTCAACATATCCCATGAAATCCCAAAAAAAGAATAAGAAATATCACCAGCTTCAATTAAATACAGGCTAACAGGAATAGTACTGTGTAAAAATAATATCACTCATAAACTAAAGACGTTTGAGCTTCTTTTTGACCCTTTTATTACACAGAGGAACAGTATCACAGAAGCAGAGAACAAATTATGGTTTAAGGAGTTTAATTACCACAGACACACACTCAACTCAAATATAACAAACGGTTTAATAAAGTTATTGAAAACCTGCAATTAAAAGAAAACAAACATGCTATTCCTGGTTGTACGAGACACGTGATTCAATGGAAAACGTGTATTTGTTTTGACGGGGAATAGCAGCATAATGGTCCTGTTGGCTTCAAATTAACCAGGCTCAGCATGCAAAGGAGGAGAGTAATTGCTTCAATTCAGGAGCCAGAGTGGTAATACATCCTCAGATCACTGCGGATACTCGATTCCAGCAGCTGGCTTAAAAGTGATTCATCATAAAAGACCAGCAGCGGTACGCGTGTGCAAAAAGCTTTGTTCAGAAGACGCCTTGCCCCCCCCCGTTCAAGGAAAGAAACGTTGTCAGATCGGCGACTAGGATGCACCTGCCCAGCAGAGAAGGAGCCGCTTCATCTTTTTTGGTTTTCCTAACACGGGCTAGGTGCTGCGGCGGCCTTCTCCGTGGGCCACATCAAGGTGACGTGGGCCGTGTGGGGGGAGCTGGCGTTGGGGTTGTTCTCAGCCGTGGGGACGGGCGCCGTGTTCCTGATGGCGCTCACCAGCAGTATCTGGGCCTGCTATGCTGGTTACGTCCTATTCAAGTCCTGCTACATGCTCCTCATCACCATCACGACGTGAGTTTTTTCAAAACCACACACTTCTGTGGATGGAGGAACAACACAGAAAGAAGCACGATAAAAACACACTCAAGTCCTCAGGTTACTTTTGCCGATTCTCGCAGTAACGATGAGTAATTATTCGTTTTAGATTTCAGATTGCCTCCAACCTCTCAATGGAGTGCTACGCCTTGACGTTCGGGATCAACACTTTTGCAGCCCTTGTGGTGCAGACGATTCTGACGTTCACGGTGGTTGATGAAGCTGCTCTGGGATTGGACATTGTGACACAGGTACGTTCGTGCACAGCGTTCATTTAGCGATTAAGTCAATTGGCAGAACACAGAGAATCGACTTCAGAATCCTGTTTTCTTTTCGATAACAAAAGCTCCAGTGTGAGGAAAGAGTGACACCTGGTGGATCTCACTCACGAGTACATGCAGAGGGGTTTAATAAAGGCCGATTCTGATTAAAACCATAACGTTGAGGATGATTTCTCTGCAGTTCATCGTCTACGGCAGCTACTACGCCACCATCTCTGTGCTCTTTCTGACCCGGGGGACCTACACCGCCTGTATCAATCGAGGCAGTCGTGAGCGCACCGACACCACGGAACCCGAGTCCAGTGTGGAGGTTCTCTCTGCTGAGCGTTTCTAAACCGAATGAGAAGGCGATCGATCCATTCGTTTACGAGGAATTAAATAGTCCACCTTCACAGTGGCGGCTGTAGACTAATTAAAATGGGGGGCGAGGCAGAGAGGGGCCCTGTGTGATTGAAGGAAAACTATGAGATACCTCAGGAGGTTGGTGCTGCTGAACCCCAAATTGCTGCGAGTGTGCTTGTGTGTATTTATTTCTCTTGGTGAGCAGGTGACACCTTGTAAGGAAGCTTCTGCCACCAGTGTATCAATGTGTGTGTGTGTGTGTGTGTGTGTGTGTGTGTGTGTGTGTGTGTGTGTGTGTGTGTGTGTGTGTGTGTGTGTGTGTGAGAGAATGACATGCCAGTGAAGTGTTTCCAATCCTTAAGATTGGAAATGCGCCTTAACAATGCTGACAATTTAACACCATTATAGCCTTGGATCTACAAAAGACTAATGATGAAGCACAATAACACTCTTTCAGTGCCAATGTGCACCATTGACATCATATCTTCTCTGGGGATACATTTGGCCTGAAAAAAAACGTATATTAAACCTTTACTGTGATAATACTACAGTAGTCTAATGAGTGTAAAACTGAGCGTCTGATGGTTAGACTTATTTTTTGTTTAGGTCTCAACAAGAATTTGAGAAAGCAAAATGACTTATTAGTATTACTGATTAGTGAAGTACATTAAAGTCATGTGAATTGTCTCGTTTCCTGTTTAATTTGTGCCGCGTGTACCTGGTGGACCTTAACCGGGGCGGTGCTGCCCTTTGGGCCGGGTTGTTGATTGACAAAACGAGCTCGACAGTTAGACATCCAACAGGGTTTCCCTCGGCGGGGCGAGACGGAGTGAGCAGCACGCAGAGGAACAGAGCGGCAGAAGATGGAGGCACTGGGGAGGTGGAGGGCGGACTGGAGGTATCCCACCGCTCTGCTGTGCGTTTACGGATTCTTCAGCACAGTTAAACCCCTGGAGCCTTTCCTTACCCTATATTTGACAGGACCAGACAAGAATCTGACAACAGAGCAGGTATTAACACAGTTCAGTCCATTACTTCAATAGTTGGTCCATGAATCAGAAGGATATGGCAATGTAGATCAAGAACAGTCAAAAGAGCAATTATGCCGGAGTAAGTAAAGTTTTTAGGCTTCGACATTGATGCTTCAAGAAACTGCATGTTCACTCAAAATAACAGAGCTGCTGATTAACGAGTTGAATGCTTTTAACCTACTCTTTAATAATCCTTATCCTTTGAGTGGTAAAAAGCCCATCATGACTATAAAACCTTTGATTTATGGCTGTGGGGAAAGACAGATCAGCAGCTCATTTATCTTATCGTTTTTTTTCGTCCTCATCAGGTCAACAACCAGATCTTCCCGGTGTGGACGTACTCTTACCTCTGCGTGCTGGTGCCGGTGTTCCTGCTGACCGACTGGCTGCGTTACAAGCCCGTGGTGGTGTTCCAGGGCGCCACCCTCTTCATCACCACAGCGACGCTCCTGTGGCTGAAGAGCGTGGCGGCCATGCAGGCCATGCAGTTCTTCTACGGGGTGGTGATGGCCAGCGAGGTGGCCTACTTCTCCTACATCTACAGGTCACACGGGTCAGCCGGCGGGGTTCGAAAAGGCCGCGTTAATGCGACAGACATGGGGTTTAGAATTTGTTTTTTTTCATTCACAGTGTGGTGGATTTAGAGAGGTATCGGAAGGCCACCTCCTACAGCCGCAGTGTCCAGCTGCTGGGGTACACAGTGGGCTCGGTGCTGGGCCAGCTGCTGGTCAGCTTGGACCTCATGTCCTTCAACAACATCCTGGTGCTCACTCTGGCTCTCACGGCCGTGGCTCTTCTCGCGTCCTGCCTCCTGCCGATGCCGCGCCGGAGCATGTTCTTTCACCGCGGGAAGAACACGGCAAAGGCGGGAACAGAGGGCCGCGACGGTGGGACCGGAGGCATGAGGCCGGGACTGGAGGAGCACGGGCCGGCGGCGGAGGACCTCGAGGAGCCAGGTGGCGAAAGGAGAGGCAGCCGAGTGCTCCTTCAGCTGTGGAGGGACTTCCGCCAGTGCTACTCCTCCAGACGGCTGCTCTACTGGTCAGTGTGGTGGGCGATGGCCACATGCGGCTACAACCAGACGACCAACTACGTCCAGGTCGGCCGAGAAGACATTGCCAGAATTTTTTTCACTGGAAAAAAAAAAGCCTCACAGTTTGTTTGCACGTATTTATCAGTTTGATTAGTGTGATGAGCACCTTCCGATCACCTGAAGGAGCTCTGCGATGTACCCCGCAGGTGCTGTGGGAGCACGTGCATCCGTCTCAGAACTTCAGCGTCTACAATGGAGGCGTGGAGGCAGTGTCCAACCTGTTGGGTGAGTGCACTAATGACCCCCCCCCGGGCCCCTTCTATCGTACCACGTTTGACTTGACTGCATTGGGTGAACATATTAAAGCAGTGGTCTCAGACCTCATGTAGTGGTCCCGTGTGTGTGCAGGTGCAGCAACAGCTTACGGTATTGGCTTCACCGAGGTGAGATGGGAGCAGTGGGGGGAGCTGGCCCTGGGGGGCTTCTCTGGACTCGGGGCAGGAGCACTCTTCCTCATGACCTTCACGGGAAACATCTGGGTCTGCTACACTGGTTATGTCGTTTTCAAGTGCCTGCACATGCTTTTGATAACAATAGCCATGTAAGAGCGACCGAGAGTCAAAACAAATTTTATTGAACGCAGTTCAGGCAGAAGTGCATTTAAAGAAACAGTACTTCTGATTAGGTACCAGATAGCGGCTGACCTGTCCATGGAGCGATACGCCCTGGTCTTTGGCGCCAACAACTTCGGCGCGTTGGCTCTTCAGACGCTCATCACGTCCGTGGTGGTGGACAGCGGAGGACTGGGCCTGGGCATCATTCCTCAGGTGAGGAGACGGATCACAAAGTGTACTTGGCAGTCTTCAGTGAATGTAGCAAGAACTGTTTGTGTGTCCGCTCACCGGTACTGTAAAAATGCTTTTTGTCTCTGCAGTTCACCGTATACGCCAGCTACTTCTCCGTCATAGCGGTTGTCTTTTCACTTCGCGGATTGTTTACGATTTGGAGAAGCAACAAGTCCCACGAGTCCACCTCTCCAGTCAAAGAAGAACCTCCAGACTCTGAGGAACACCGGTTCTGAATACGAGGACTACCAGCTGAGATCATCACTTGTGTTTTTGTTTCCAAATTAAAAAGCTTCAAAATTACTGACTGCCACACTATGAATATAAATCTTTTTTTTTAATATATACAAAACAAATATACAATATTCTCCATACATCAATATAAATGAATGGTTTGGACTTTTTTTTCTTACTTAAAATTCCTTTTAATATATATTTATATATACTGTATATATTTACACATTAACTTAAAATTCTCTAATAGCCAAGTTTTTCAGGTAATTAGCCATCTTTTTACTCACTAATGACTCATGAAGCATTGTGACCGAGGGCCTCTGTGAGCAGGACGTGGGACGGGCAGAGAAACGAGGACCCCATCCCATAATGCAGTGGTCGCTTCACCTCTTGCCAACAGAATAGACTTTTTCCCCCCCATTCGTGACAACAGTTAACCTAAGAGGAACCTGCACAAATAAACAGTTTGGTTCTTCACAAATACAGCAAGTGGCAGTACCAATTTACTTATCCAAGCAACAGTTCTGTCTCAACAAATCTCATGTGTAAGATACAAATACTGATATGCACAAAGCGCTAATTTCCAAAAAGAAAATTAATATGTACAGAATTGCAGCATAATGGATGGGATACACTTTATGCAATAACTTAGTTTTCAGCCAGTTTGGTTATACATTGTGGTTCAGTAGAGGCCAGTTCACAGGTTAACCAGAGGGAAGGAGACCTCTCCCTCTGCACACGCCATCACTTGATTTGTAGCCAATGATAGCGGCAGCATGACAGTCATGTTGTTCCATTCGTGACAAACGGAGATAGAAAATACAAATCCTTACAAACATTGTGTTTAAAGCTACTTGTGAAACCAAACAGTGCAATAAGTGCAAGCGCGCTTGTTGTTGTTGACGACCCTGTAGTGGAGCTGATTGGGTGGATCGCTATAAGAAGGGATTCGTAGAGGAGCCTCCGGCTGGATATTGTGCAGATGGACCGGCGCCCTAGGAGGAGAAAGACACACAACAAACACATCACACTCCAGCAGAAGTAATAATGAGGAATAAGGTGGCCGCTCATTCTCCATCAACAATAGCGTTGACTCATGGGACCAAAGCCTTTTTCTTTTTACAAAGACATAACGCCACCTTACTAACCAGGAAAGGGTTGCTAGAGACCATAGATCCAGCCATTGCCTGCCCGAAAGGAGTCACAACAGGCTTGGCCTGACCAAAGGCTGGAAATCCTCCTCCTGAAAGCCAAGTGCATTGTCATTTAGAAGTGGACCTCCACTTTTGTTCAAGTGAGCAAACCTAATTGAATCAAGTCGCGTGACTCCGAACTGACACTTTCACGGGATGCAGGACCACTGATGTGACAATCATGCAGTCTGCTGCACATGCAGGCTTCAATGTCAGCATTATTGATGCAGATATGTCTGTATCTACATAATGTACACACAGACACACACCGTTGGGTTGCTGGGGATACGCGGGCGGCTGAGGGAAGGGAGCCTGGCCAGGAAAGGGTTGCTGGAACGTTCCACTAAAGCTGGTGGGGAGGTTGAAGGCTGCAGGATTCCCGAATCCAGCTGGCATGCTCATGGAGCCTGTGCCAAATGATGCTGCAACACAGCATGACAGGCAGTGGTTAAACAGGCCGGTACAAGACGTCTGAAGCCATACAATAACAGGGCTAAACATTTTTTTTTAATGTTTGCACCCATTACTTTAAAAAAAATTTGCGACAATATTGTAAAGCATGTAACAATTGTCTTTAAAATGTGCCATTACATGGGATGGCATCAGCAGAACAAAAAAACAAGGTCAATTCCTTGCTGATGCAACATAGAAAAAAGGCTTCCACCTTGTGTGCAAAGAGGTCTAACAAATGATACGAGGACGTAACATACGTATCATTTCTTCCTCGAATCATGTGCTAGCAAACTAATGTAATTGGTTGATTGAGTCGCACATATATCACACCATCCAGACACACACACAAACACACCTGCTGCTGCCGCTGCCGCCGCCGCCATATTGGCAGTCCTGCCGTTGCTCTGGAACGGGTTGGTGGGAGCTGCAGCTGGCGGCGCCACAAACGGATTAGTCGACTGAGCTGTTGGAGAGAGAGAGAGAGACAGAGGTACAGAGTCACTAAACACAACAATAAAGCTCACAACCTCAACATGTTAAAGACAAAAGCGTTGATCCACGTAGCCCCTCTCACACAAATGATTGATGTCAAACACTTACCATGATGATTTAAAAAAAGAAAATGGAACTACTGATTATTACTAATAGCACTTGCATCTTGACCTTCCACAACAGATGAAAAATGATCAACTGCAAAATCTAAAACTGTAGTAGACTGTACCAAGTAGAAAGCATCAGAAAAAGCCCCTGTAGGTTCACTCACCGCCAAAACCCTGGGCCATGCCAGGCAGGGCCTGCTGCGCGTGTGCTGTTGACATCCCGGACTCTGGCCCAAACAAACTGCTGCAGTGAAACAAAGACGACACATCATCATGGAAGGAAGCAAGTACGGATGGATCCTGCATGTATGGAGGTCAAAATGCTTTTCATAAAAGTACGTTTGTTGACTGTGTGTGTGCCTGGTGTGTTTAGTGTAATGTCTCACCCTTGTGAGATGCTGGTGGGGTTGTAAACACTAGTTGCGGGGACAGACGGGCCAAAGACAGTATCAAGCTCAGCTAGAGCAGCGTAACGGTCTCCCCCCCCTTGCATTGCTTGCTGCTTCTGAGGCAGACCACCGACTCCTGCAGCAGCGGCAGAGCTCCCCCCAACAGGAACTCCCCCTCCTGGAATAAAACAAGCAGAGTCGGATTCAATCCACCTCAACTCAATCTCATCTGATCTAGAAAGGGAAATTCTAATTTAAAAAAAAAAAGTCCAGATATCTGCCATATTCAACCTATTCAGAACAATGGGGAACATTTAAATGTTAGCACATCAATACAGTTTGTAATATAAACAAAATTAAGTAAAACCAGTAGAATTCACAGATGCCAGAAGTCCAACCAAGTTAAATGAAACCCCACGCAAATAGCTTTCTTCACAGCAGGGAGGCCTTATCATTCGCCTGCTGTCTTTACACAGGCTGGTGCAGCAGAATTTGATTTTTTCTAGCAAATTCATCAGAGCTGTTTTATGAGAGACCATGTCTGTCCCTGCTTTGGTAAGAGGACTCATAGGGTCATAGAGCTAGGGGCCTGATTTCATGTTGTTAGTTTTGGAAATGGGGGCTTCTTATTGGTTAACCCCTATCCCTACATAAAGATCTATACAACAGGCTTGGCAGGGGACGTTTACCTTGCTCTGTTTTGGCAGAGCTAAACCCGTTATCCAGGTCAGCCAGGGCTGCGTATCTATCGGCAGCGAGGCTAGTGCTCTGTACAGCGTCTCTGCCGCCTCCTGTGGAGTTACTCTGCAGGGATCCAAAGTCAGCGCTACACGATTTGGGGAAGTTGTCAAAATCTGCAAAATTGGTATTTGCTAGTCCACCTGAGGCGCTACCTGTGTGAAAGAGAGAGATTCAATGTCAAAAAGGGGGCCGTGGGTGCCTGGTTTTGAGTAACAGCATCAACAGGGCGGTGTTAAGGAGGACAGGATCGGCACGGAGGGTTACATTGGGGGGGGGCAGTCAGGCTGGGGAGGGGTTACCTTTAACATCTATAGGACCCTAAACTATGCTGCTTCTCCATTAGCCTATGAACCTAGAGAACGTATGAAATGATGGCAGAAGTGCTCTTTTCTTTGTTGAGTGCCTCAGTTACATCGGAGTTCTGTGAAAAGAGTCAGTTAGAGATGACATTCAACACCTAAATGTGAAAACAATGAGATGGAAAACAACTTCAAGGTGAATGGAAAATGATTTTGTTCGGCAGAGCACCCTGGGGTGTTTATGTTTGATGAAAATGCTGTTTAAGGCACTAATCTACAAAGGCTCGCAGATGAAAATCAACAGTGATTATTGTGCTAAATGTCAAGGACTGTTGGTGTAAGTTTGGAATGCAGAACCAAAATATTTTGGATACTTGAGGTCTCTGAGTGTGAACTAACCACCACACCAGCTCATTCTCAAGCAGTGGTTTTATTGAATTCTGTGGAATGTGGAACTACCTTTAGTAAACAGACGGGTACAATCTCAGCTGCATCGGACAAACCCACGCTGAAAGCATGTTTTCATAACGGTGGCCGATAGTAATAGGGGAATCAACAAGTCAATATTGTGGCATTTACCTGCACAGCGGTCTCAGGTGACATAAAGTAGTAAGGCTTGATAACACACACTTGGTATTTAGCGTAACACGCTGCTGGAACGCGTACAAAGTTACTCAACATTATAGTCAACGAGGTCACATTATTACGATGTTCCTCATTTTGGATGAAAGGGAAAGGACTGTGAGGAACAATGCATTGACGGATTCTACCCGTTTGTTATCAGGTCTCTTCCTATTCCTTCATTTAACATTGTTACTTTTTCACAGTGGTTCACAACAACGGCAGCACGAATCAAAGCCCCCCGTCCCAGTCCTCAACCAGTGAGGTTGCAAATAGTGTTTCAGAGTTGTAAACACAAATTGAGCTACATTGAGAGGTAAATGTAAATGTTAGATGGTGGAAAGGGAGAAAGAAAGAAAGTAAGGGGGCAGAGAGAGAGACAAAGGGACAGAAAGGGACTTACTGTGAGCGACCTGGAGAGGCAGACCAGTGGCGAACTCACCCATACTGCGGCTGGATGAAAGCACAGTGAATGCTGGCAGCCAAAAATAAAAGAGGGAGGGAGGGAGGGAGGAATGAAGCAATGAGCGACGCAAGACGGGCCGAAAGAAACAAAAGAAACTGGGTCAACTAAAGCAGAGATTGAAAATTGAGACGCGTGAAGTCAAAGCAAATCAACTGCTGCAGAAGCAAAAGGGTGAAAAACGCTAAAGGTTCCTGTAAAGCTTATCAGAGCAGACCAGCAGAGGGCACTAGAGGTCACTACATGTTCCCCAGAGAGCTGAGCCTTTGAGGAGGCACAGTATGTGAGAGAAAAGGCAAAAACTAGGTTTTACATCAAGTGTGATGTTACTGAATGAATGGCTGGGAGGGGAATACAGCCCAGAATGACAAACACAGGAAGGTATGTACGTGTT